TTCCAAACTGAGGGTCTCATCCTATGAAAGATTTAGGTTGCAATCCTACACACCAGGATAGTCAATTCAGTGTCTCAAGATGTTTTGGAGTGTAACTCCCACAATCCCTGGCTATTGGCCATGCTTACTGCAGCTGATGGAAGCAGAGTCTAAACTACCCAAAAGGAACCAGGATGTCTACTCCTCCTGATCTTACCTAGGAGTATCTTCTATTGAACTTAGTGGAGCTTTCTGAGATGTCTTGTAACTGGTTCACATCATGCATGCTTCAAGACTGATTCACACACTTTTTAGTTTCACTATGTTTATACAGGTGTTTCTTCTGAAGAAACTGTTAAGTACAGTGGGGTAAAAACTACTTCTCTGAGCTAATCTCCATTTCAGTTTAATGAATGTTTGGGGTGTAAGCCTCTTCATGTTTTAGGTTCTTTCCACAGATAGCACAAACTTAAATATGACATGAAGAGTGACATAAGATGAAGAAATATCGAGAAAACAATCCAAAGTGCATATCTATGCCTTTTTTCCCTGGTCATTTCTTCATCTCGATCTGAAGGACATATATCTATACCCCAAAATAATATGGGGAGCAACACTGAATTTACAGCAAGGGGATGTAACCTGGGCTAATTTCAGGCATTTTTTCTAGGCTACCATTTACTAAACTTGGACAAAAGAAAAAGTTTGCCTTGTTCACTCACCCAACCCTAGGATTGTATTCCTCAACAAAGGTTATTAATAAGTAATCTTGAACTTGTTTTAAGAACAAAATTCTTCTTCTTCTCCTTCATATATATTTCACTGTACATCTAGGTTGCACAGTAGATTATAAATCAAGGTAAATAAAATTCAGACCTATACTTAGACAAGAAAAAGTGGTATTACTCCCACTGAGCACTGTTCAGCCAACATGGCTCAATGGGAATAGTGAGAGCCATAGCATTTCTTCCTGTCTAAACATGCATAGGATTGCACCCTAAATAAATGTTATAGCTTCTTGCTTCTTGAGGATTCAGTAGTCATTAAGACAATGCTTTTTCCTGATTTCTAAAGTGACCAGCCGCTAACCTTATTCCTTTCATAGGTTAGGGGTTTCTTAGCAACTTTGGGTTCCTGTTCATACACCCTTTTTAGCATTGATGTTTGGCTTAAGATGGCATCATGGGGAGCGGGGGGGGGGGGGGGAGAACTTGCTCATACCTCAAAGACCCCTTAAGCTGAAAGTGACAGAAAATGAAATTGCTGCTTGAGCAGACGTGGGAGTACACATCTTAAACAAAGATGTTTATCTGCCAAAAGGTCAAGTGTGGGTCAGCAATAAAAACTAGGACCGCAGTTTAGAAACTGTGCAGTCAGCCCCCTTCATGCTCACTAATCATGCTCAAAATAAAAGTAATTGACAGTGCATTGTATCACAGCTGTACTAGCAGAGAAGGAGCACCGAAGGAGATGAGTACTGCCTGATAAGGATGGTCTCGTCTCTCCATGGCCTTGAACCTGAAATACATGATGGATTGTAAGTGCATTAACTTCAGCACAGGGGAGTATAACATTGCACCATACGGCACTTCGGTGCAAGTAAATAGGATGCACAATCTTAAGTGCAGCATTTTACAGGCTTCCAGCAGAAGTGAGATGCAAGTTTCAGATATTTCAGATACTGGTGGGGGCAGGCAATGATTGCTGCAAATCCAGACCATTCAAGGTGTGTATTGACAATTGCACAACCCAATTACAGAAAGAATATAACCCTTTTAAACACACGCACACAAAACATAATTTGGCTTTACTGAGAGAATCAAGCTGTATGTTTGATATGGAAAAGTAGGTTGATATGGTAAATAGAGAGATAAGAAAATAAGCTTGCTGAAACATTTTGAATGACTATAGGAAATCAGAGGATGTATATATGACAAATGTGTACCTATTTTTACTATTCATGCTGAATTTTTGGCAGTCAATCTAAATTCTTTACCTCTTTATAAATCCTGAAAATACACGTCTGATGTATATTACCTAGTGCTTCCTCCCCTCATACCATTCTCAAAGGTTAAAATGCCTCTCCTAAGGCTTAGTTGCTGGCAACAAGAGCTTTCCACTAAAATATGCTCACAGTTTTGGTATTTTGGCCCAATCATTTTTGCCTTTGTCCCATTTAGCACTGGCAGCTGGCTTTGAGAGCTTCTCTGAAATTTAATTTAGTTCTCAGACTAAGTGGTTCAACATCCCTATCATATTATGGTTTAATATATGTAAAAACTGAAAATACACATGCTTATAAATTATTGGTATACTTTAGTTTGATAGCACATTCAAATGTCCCAGGTTAAATAATGTGTGTGCACAAGAGAAGTTATGGGTTTCATCAAAGCTCTCCAATTATCCAGTACCTTCAAAGACGAGGTTGCGGTACAGATCACAAGCAAAACCCAGGCTTGACTTGCTACAGACTAAAGTGGTATTCCTATCTTTAGTTTTTACATGGCTGATTCCCCATCCCACAAATCCAGACTCTGCTTTTTAACTTTTATAATATTGAGATGGAGATGAAGACCATGATGTAAAGAAAGCAGAATTTTCACCCTGCTGTGGTTGCAGTCTGAACAGGTTGTTTCTACATTTGCTGTCTACAAGGGGAGGAAAGCTCGCACTGGCTGCAAAATAATAATTTGATACACACTTGGTTAAAGATATGAATAACACGATATTTAGTTTGGCCCAAAGATTATAACTAAATGAATCCTTAAAATGTACAACAGAGATGTGCCAGAGCAAGTATGTCTTACTATATTATTCTGATAGACTTCTAGAGTAGTTTTAAAGGTTACCAATTGAAATTGTAAGCTGAGGACTTGATGGATTGTTGAAAGCACTGTAATCTTGGACCTGGTTATGTATGCTTAACTGATTTTAATTCAGCAGATGCTTCAGCACATGCACTTGAATGCAGGACTACAACCAAATTTGCCTCTTTAAATGAAGTGTATGTTACACAGCAAGCACCATCATTATATTTTTAACAATATGCAATAGCAAAGCATAACAAGAAAAGTCAATTATTGATGAAATCCACATCAAACCAAATCTAATTATATTTATCCAAATTATCATTTGATACATGAATCAGAAAAGAACCTGATTCATTTCAGTCCTGCACAAAGCAACTGAGAAGAGTATTATAATGAAAAGAAAAGTAACAATACACACACGGAGACAGATATAGATATGGAGTAAAACAACTACATGTTAAATGTTCTGCATAGGCAGTGCCGTGCAGAGTATCCTTCTGTTAACTGTAAAAGAAATACTTTTTTTTGTTCTCCTGAGGACAGGAAACCCAATCAGCAGGGCATATCCACACTTGTCTCCCTAAAACAGCATGGGAAGTGATCTGAAATCTGAAAATAACATTTGTTTTTAAACTACTGCCTCATCCTATAGAATCTGACCAAAGAAATATAAACATCTTGGCATTGGGATGGTGTTACAGCTTGAAATTACATTCACTGTCTCTTTCTAGGATGTTAGGAATAGAAATAATGATCTTAATGTAAAGATGACTTTGTGATATAAAACTTTTTTGTTACATAAAGATAATATATCCCTCTTCAAAGAGCCACAAGAAGAATGGTCACAAAGAGCAACCAATGGTAAGACAGGTGAAAAGATGCTAAAGTTCAGCATATACAGTAAGCTTCCAATCTACAGTGGCACAGCAAAGTAACACCACAGCAAGCATCCATTTCACAATGAAATACAGAAATACCCAGCAATAATAAAAAGAAAAGGTGTTCTGTGTTAGGCTTTTAACTGATGCCCAGCAAAGCCAATACAATGATTCAGTATTGAATATTGCTTACACAGAAATAGATTTTTTCCTTTAAAAAAGTAGTTTTTTAAAAAGAAAAAGTAGAGTTTGAATATAAGTTTTGAAAAACTGCATAAATACCACTGATCTTTAATTACTGTATTTCACAGAATCTGTGTGTTCCCCACACATTCCATGCTGTAGGGGAAGGGGATTACGTTTGAAGAACTGCTGTATACTGAAAACATCAATGCCACATTTATAATAAATTGATGCACCACTGATGCATTGCTGAAGTATACTGTCACAGGCAATGCCCTTCCTCTAATGGAAGAAACAGAGGCAACACTTGAATTTACTTGGAACAGCAGCATTATGAGGGAGGAAAAACGGCTTTTCAGAAATTGGATGAATCAACTCTTCAGATTTAAGGCAGGCACTGCAAGTCTTGTGGACTACCTCAGGTCTGCCGAGGCTCTTGTATTCTGTTGCTGAACAGAGACTCATCCCCTGGTTGGTAGGGCTGTGGAGTATGTACGTCAAGGAAACAGACATACATAAATGCTAGCGATCCCTGAATAAAGTATTACCAAACAAAAGTATTTTCAAATAATAGTATTCCACTGATCGAAAGAATGTATCTGAAAACCTTGTGGAAGTACTTAGGAACAAATGTCAAAGTGAAAAACAAAATAATGAAAACAAACCTTTATAAGAAACAACTTTTAAAAATTGGGGAAATCATTCCTAGATACGTTCATGAAATTTTCCATCCATGAACCAAAGCTACCACAGCAGATAGCCTTTTCAAACAGCTTAAGATTAAAATGCAAGTCAATGATTTCTTTAGAAAACTGCATGTCAGGCCAATTTGATAGACAGAAGTACAAATTCCTAGCTAGTCTTTTGAATAGCTAGTTAAAGTTTGGTTTTGTGAAGAACAAAAAGAAAAAGAAACCGTGGTAGCCTTAAAAGCCAAACACTCAAGAACATGGAGAGACACTTGGCCAGCATCATACTATGGCTCCTTTCCGCACTTTGCGAAGCTAATTGGAGGCCCTCGTTTGCAAGTGCTCGACATGCATAATGGTTCTCAGGCCATAAACACATGCTCTTTTGTGCACGTAGTATGGCTCCAGCACCAGTTGTGAAGGCTACAGGGAGTGAACAAGAACAAAAAGGGTGTACTTACTGTAAGGGACACATTCATATTGGACTTCGAGGTATTTGTATGTTCCAGGACAAGGATCAGGAAATACATCTGATCCTGTAACTACTATACACTGAGTTCTGTTGTTGCACCTATAAGAGAAGAGGGAGAGTAAGCAGATTAACATTAAAATAGAATTAATTTATAAACCGTAGACAGCTGTGTTTATAAACCGTAGACACCACAACTATTGTTGGCATAACCCGCAAGTTGTCTTTATCGTTAAAGTACTGCACTACATCTTCAGTTCAAGCCTGTAATAATTTTTCAGACAACTAATAACTAGATGAACTTTTGTGGTTGATATTCTTATTAGGACAGTAATTTTAGAAAGTAGAAACAGCATTAATAGAACTTAAAGATTTATTTCATTTATTTCAGATAATGTTCTGCCATCCTTCTGTCTGGCAACCCCCAGGGTAGTTAACAAGAAGCATAAAACTATGCTAGTGCAAACTAAACAACAACAAATAAATTTAATTTAATTTGATATAAATTAAATATAAGTTTAAATCAGTAAAATAAAACCTTCAATACAATCCAAACAAAAAATAAACAATCAAGCAGAACCTATTTTTTAAAGTTGTCTGTTACTTCAAATCACCTTAAAAACCTGCTGCTGAAAAGACATCTCCTTGAAAATAATTCCAGTCAGGGGACCAAACTTTTCTTTGGTTTGTTGGTTTAATTCTTTTCATGTTACCCTATTTGTGTACAAGAAATCAAGCAAATGCAATCCTATATATGTCTATGTTAAAATGAATTGAATATGATAGGACTTACATTCATATAATTAAGTATAGGATTATACTTAATTTAGGGAAAACATTTCTCGGAGATACTGACTATAAATTAGAGTAGATCAAAAAAGATCTGTGTAATGAAGATATAAGACCTCCTGGTATGAGTGGGAACATTAACTACCCTAAGTGTATGCTCCTACATCTAGGCAGTGAGAAGTAAATTTCACTGTGTTCAGTGAGACTTCCAAGTAATTATCACTAGGATTACAGGCTGTGAAAAATCAGTGGGACTTTAAAATATTTAAATTTGGTTTATGTAAAAGAAGAAGAAAAATGTTCATCCAATCCACCTGCAGCTAGTACCCAGAACTGTACAAATCAGAAGCTACTAGATTAACGCAAGTGTGGCAGCTTTCAGACAAATATCATATAATTGAATTTGTACTTTTGAAGGGTCATTTAAAATGAATTGCCATTTTGGATATGGATACAACATTACACCTCAAAACTAAAAAGCTAAATGTGGTAAAATGAAAATACTTTCAGCTTTTTACTCTGAAAGCAAAGGAAGGAGAAGAAAAGGTCAGAAACAGTTTGGTGACTAAAACAAAGAATGCTTGGCTGATCTCCTGGGTGAGTTCTGTTTGTCAGTAAACTGAAAGAAAGGAAGCCAGATCTTAAAATAATAGTCTAGCCTTTGACTCCAGCCATATATCAACTCCCGCATTACAAGCACTTCCCACACTACTGAATACCCTTGCACAAGTTGAAGAAATCTGTCTTGTGTCGGGGAGTTTCTGACATCTGTCCTCTGCCAACAGGTGCAAGATCAAGCTGAGCATTAAATTCTTATGCTACATGAGTATTAAAGACTGCCAAACTATACAATTTCAGTACAACTTGAGTGTTCATTGAACACTCAAGAAATGATTTATTAGAAGGCTTTTTAAATTATTGCTTTAACTGAGTTTATTTTAATCTTATTTAAAAGTACCTTTGGCTGCCTTGAAGCCCATTTTGTCTGGAGGAAAAGTAGGCTACAGATCAAATAAAGCAACAATACATTTTGAAGACTACATTGACTTTAGAATTCAGAAAAATGTCCAGATCAACAGAAATTAACAGTTTCTTGCACAGCAGGTAAGGTCCAAAAACCAATGGAATGCTTATGGTTTCTTTGCTGCCCTTTGCTGATGGTGGTCTGTCAGTTCAGTACAAACAAAATGCTCAGGCAATATATATTCAGCAACTCCTCACAATAGGACAAAAAGTTGTTCTGCTATACAAAGAAATCAACCCAGGAATTTTAGTCCCATTTTTAAGGCAAGTTACTAGCCCTTACATGTATAAAGATATGCTTGGAAGCATATGGTTGGTGACATGTCAGTATTTACATAGGTGGTTGAACAAGATGTCCATTGGTCAAGGAGGCTGACCTGCATAATACTTTGCTCCTTTATGCAATTAAGAACAAAAATTGTGCGGACTGCCAAAACGATATAAGTAATGGAATTTGGCTTTCCTGGGCATGCATGCATGCATTCATACATACATACATATATATATATTAAAAAATTTAAAATCTGCATGCCATCCTGACCATTAAGTACTCACAAATTTATAATATTGCTAGTAGCCGCATATGGGCTTTCTCCTTCAACGTGTTTTTCAATGGTTTTAGTAGACAGCCTATGGACAGATTGCCAATAGTATTATTTGTTGCAAAAAAATTCAGCGTTATGAGTCTGCAATGATACTTCAATGTCAATGCGTAAGGAAAGAAAATAAAACATTTTGTGTCCTAAATCAATTTAGTAGGCAAAGTATATATTTTCTAAGAGTATATTCTTGAACTCATTGGCAGGTATCCATTATCTGAATCACACAGAATCACACCTGCATGCCCAGTTTTGAACATTTACAGGTAAATGATCAAAACTATATGAATAAAGAAATAGTAAAAGATCATTTTCAGCTATTCTACACTGAGGGAGAGGCTATAAATCCCTACGATAAATAATCTAACTACTAGCGGGAAATGTTTGACCAGAGTTCAATCCTATGTGTGTTTAACAAAAGTCCCACAATTCTTAGCATGCCCCAGGCAGCATGGCTGGCTGGAGGGAAGCTGGGAATTATAGGACTCCTTTCTGTCAAAACATACAAATGATTGAGACCTTAATAAATAAGGCTGCAATGAAACTCAATAGGACTTACTTCTGAGGAAACCAGTATAGAATTGCACTATGAGTGCAAAATCCTTTACACATCTATGCAGAAGTAACTCCCATTGAGCTCAGTGGAACTTTGAAAACTACATATAAATGACTGCTCTCGTGTATATGTAGTTCTACAGTTCTATCTTGTTCTTCTATAGCTCATACCCAGGACAACCTACATATATATCATTATACAACTTCAAATGGCACCTAAGAATAAAAACAATACTGGTTGCTAAGTTCATACACAGCTTAAGTATTTCTCACTTAGCATTTCATTATATAATCCAGTAGCAATGAACTATTACAAAACTCTGAAAGATTCATACATGTGAGCACTTTTTCAAAATTAGTATAAATGCATATAGACCCTTGGAGCTTCTATCCTCTAACTTAAACATATCCCTATTAGGGTTTGCTGCATGGGTGAAATCCAATCTCTTTCCCACATACCCTCAAATCTGCTTGAAAGAGTCTTCTACTCCCAACCCTTCTTGTTCTGCTTATGGAAGCCATTCTGTCAGGTGGAGAGGCTAATTAGATACAACCCAGAATTTCACTATTGTGTCTTTTTTTTTTCCTTTCAGTGTGATCAAGAAACTTTCTATGTAATTATGAAGGAGACAGGGGAGTGGGGAGGGGGAGGGAGAGAAAGAAATAAAGAGTTTGAAGAATTTTTTTTTAAATTCTGACATAGGATCAAGATTATTCAATATTGACAAAGAAAAGCCAGACTGATCACTCAATATGGGCATGGCATAAAGGCAGCATATAAATTTACTAGGCAGATACCAGCCTCCTGACGGCTGTATAAATAAGCAAACCCATTGGTGGTAAAGTTTTCTTTTTCTCTTCTTATTTATGAACAGGACATCTGAAACATTGCTGCAACTCCCGATTCATATGTTGGATAAGATGACAAGTTATCCCTTATTCTTAGTACCAGTCCTTATTCCAGAGTTCCACAGGCAACAACATTGAATGACCCTTGATCCTGGAAGGCTTGCACATAGATTTTGTCAAGACTATACTTGTTGTTCTCTAAACACTGTGTTTCTGAGATATATGTATAAACTTATTTTGTTGGGTGGGAAGGAAAAGAGAATATAAATTTCCAATTATTGCAAAAGTAGAGACAGGTGATGTGTAAATAGTATTCTGCAAATGTATCCATTAGGAATCCCAGGTCTCTACAAATGGAGCATATGTACACTCAAACATCTCCTCCCACCACCTACACTGTGAGGAAAATGCAGGTCCTTTGGGATTCAACAAACGCTCTAAATGTGTTGATAACAGCCACAGTTCTATAATGTACTCACTTTTTAAAATGGTATAGTTAAAACCAATGCTGATTTGTTTTATCTTATTTATATTAAGATATAAAGTTTTAAAGTTTTTTTTTCTTACTAAAGTGTTCTTTCCTTATTTATATGGAAAGGTTCAATTAAACGAGTGCAGAGATGGCAATGAGGGAAATACAAAATCAAACATGGCCAGCTAATTAACAGCTTGAGTGAGATGCTGAACTTGGCTCACCTCATTTGAATGATTGTGCAAATGCAGGCTCGGCTCTTCACACATCAGTAGAAAAAGATCCAAGACAAAAAATAGTGCACGCAGTTTTGTATCTTTCCCTTGCCCACTTCTTGTTTATCACTGTGTACTCTGAAGTTTGTTCTCATGCACTTGGCTTTTAAAAGCAATCCTTGTTTCTATTCTAATTTGTTTGGGTTCCCGCTGTAATCTCGACTCATACAATTCCCGAGAAATTGCTTTTGCTCTTCTTTTGATTATCTTATGCTCATTATTACACTTTACCAAGTGAAAAGTACGAAGATGAGATTCCATGTGTAATCTATTTGTGTGAGGTGTTTTAATCAATGGTCTTGCTCTGCTGATTAAGCAGAGGCTTCTGGTTTGGCAAGATAACATTAGTTTCTCCTGTCATGCTCCAAAAGCCATTGGGAATCTTCAGCAGATCATTAGATATGCTACAATAAAGCTTTGGTACATTCCCTTTTCTTCCTTAAATTACTTCTTCACTGTCCTACCATTCGCTGTCACCACTGGCACTGCATTATTATTACAGCTCCCCTGAAACTTGCACTAGAGCTATGTCTCCAGGCC